CTGGATTCAATCTATTATGTTCTTATTTGCCATGAAGCCTCCTACAGAAGCTTCTAGACTCTAAATACTCAGGAGAGAATAAGAGTGAAAAGGAAAATAGAATCTTTTTTTTTTTTAATAAAGGATTTTTTTTTTGCAGTTTTTGGCTGGGACTGGGTTTGAACCCACTACCTCCAGTACATGGGGCCAGAGCCCTACTCCTTGAGCTACAGGTGCCACCCCAGAAAATAGAATCTTAATAATATCTTAGTATTATTATAGAAATAGTTCTGACCCCTGAATCTCTCAAACAGGTCTTAGGGATGCCCAAAGTCCCTGGGCCACACTTTGTAAACTACTGACACAGGCTGGGCATGGTGGCTCACTCCTATAATCTCAGTATTCTGGGAGGCCAAGGCTGGTGGATTCCTTGAGCTCAGGAGTTCAAGACCAATCTGAGCAAAATAGAGACCCCCATCTCTAGTGAAAAAGAAAAACTAGCTGGGTGTAGTGGAGGGCACCTGTAGTTGCAGGTACTCAGGAAGCTGAGGCAAAAGGATTGCTCAACCCCAAGAGTTTGAAGTTTCTGTGAGCTATGATGCCATGGCACTCTACCCAGGGTGACAGAGTAAGACTCTGTCTCAAAAACAAAAGAAAACTACTGATACATAGTATCATTTGGTAAATAAGGTACAACAATGTGTGGAAAATGGTCATAGATAAATAGGTGGAACTAGTGGCTTCAATATACATGGAGGTATGCAACTTAATAGATAAGCATTGTAGACTCAGGAAACACAATTCAAATTTTAGCTGGACCATTTACTAGCTGTGTGACTAGGAGAAAATTAACTAACCTCTCTGTGCCTCAGGACCTCATTTGTTAGATGAGGATGAAAATAAGAGCCCTAAACCTCCTTGGGTTACAGAATGTAAAGTGCTTAGTTCTTGAAAGTAAAGTGGCTGGCACATAAGAAGCACTCGATAAATTATGCAATTAATTTATGAAAATGATTATTATTAAGCAGTGTTGGAAAATAGTAAGGTAGAGTTATATAACTGATACTAAGTGAGCTCCATAATACATTGTCTTGTGAAACTGGAAGGTATACAACTAGGTGCATTCTATGATAAATGTATAAAATAAACTGCTACATACTCACCTGTATGTGGATTTTAAAAATGAACGTATGCGTGAATATGCATAGAGTAGTCCTGAAATTATGCATTAAAATCTAATAATACCCTGGGGGAGGAGGATTTCCGAGTGTCAGAATAACCTGACTTGCTTCAGATAGATGCGTAGTAAAGGGGAGGCATTTCATGGCATTTCTTTAAAACAGATCTTTAACTAGAGAATTTCATTCCACTTCTAAAATTTGACAAAAAAAAAAAAACTAGATTAATTTTTTTGAGACACAGTCTCACTCTGTCGCCCAGGAGAGAGTGCAGTGGCATCATCATCATAGCTCATTGCAACCTCAAACTCCTGGGCTTGAGAGATCCTCCCACCTCAGCTTCTTGCGTGTCCCCACGCTCAGTTACTCTTTTTTGTCTTTTTTGTAGATACAGGGTCTTGCTATTACCCAGGATGGTAATTTTTTTAGAAGGACATAAACTTTAGGATTTTTGGTTAAGTTCTGGATAAAGTCAGCAAATATCTAGCACTTGCGTCACCACCACCCATCCTGCAGGCAAAGCAGACAGCACCAATTGAGCAGCACTGCAGACAGCACCAATCAATGGGGACATCCTTCCTCCCTGAGCAGATGTTCAGAGTCCTTCTAATTGTGTGCCAAGTTGTTACCACAGATCACTTAGCCCTGATAAAGAAGCTGAAACATATTTGCCCTCCCAAATCTCAAGCATGACCTCCAGAAATTCCTGGAATCATCTAAAATGACTCAGAATATTTCCCTCAGGGAGTCTGATCCTGCTGAATCGGGATTCTTTCCTGCTAACCTACCCCCACCAACCTTCCTGTTCCAGAGGGATTTGGAATCCTTCTAAGTCATCTCCCTCTTTTTTTTTTTTTTTTTACAGAAAAGGAAACTGAAGCCCCAGAGATTAAAAGACCTGTTCAAGGTCACAGAATGAGTTTGCATCAAATCCATAGTAGTAAAATACAGCAGCAAAAAGAGGAGACTCTTGGGTCACACAGGCCTGGGCATGAATTCTCCTCTGTATCTTACCAGAGGATGGCTTCACTTCACTCTGCCTCAGTTTCTTCATTCATAAAATGGGGCGCATTGGGATGCCACATGTAGGCATGGCACATGTAGGATGGTTGGGAGGATCCAATGAGCTAATAAATAAAAGATGCTTAGCACAGCACCTGCTACCTAATGATAGCTTCATAAATGTGGCTGCATTGTTACCAGTTGTGGTGGCCCTTCGAGAGGGTAAATCACAATAAAGCAGAGAACTGAGGGGCTGGTACTGTGTTTCCATTACCGTACACTTCAAGGACAAGCTTATCAAATTTTGAGGCTGTTCTGCATCTCTCAATATAGTGGGTGAAATCACAGATCTTGGAGCCCACTTTTGAACCTCTGTCCTTTACTTGCAAAAATAGGGTGATGATTGTTCCATACAAGACTGCTGTGAATGGCTTCGCATCTGTGGCTCAAGTGGCTAAGGTGCCAGCCACATACACCTAAGGTGGCAGGTTCGAATCCAGTCC